TTAGTCGTCACAAAGTTCAGGCTGTGAACTGAATTTTTTATTTTGTATGTAGAGCTTGATGGTCTTTGCTCTGTGTATGAAGCACTATTCCATCGTATACTTGGTCATTGCCGATAATACTCTCCAGAAACCCCTAAGTGTGCAGAGGCAGTGGAGTCACTAGAGAATACTTTGTTTTCCCTTGTTACAGTTGGCTATTCCTGCTATCTCAGTACATTTAAAAGAGTTGAGTTGCCTTTTGACCACAATACAAATGAAAGTTTTAAGGTAAATAAATAGCTTTCCCTTAGCTGAAACTATAATATTGTCCAGTGCCTCTAAAACATCCATAAAAGCACTAAAGTACCTGCGTATGCCTGGAAGCAGATGCCTGGCTAATGTTTCTTGCTTGTTAGAAAGTGTGTATGTTACTTAACCTCTTGCATATTTATATAAGGCTGGAAGAATACAAACTTCAGTAGCACCTCTGCAGCTTTTTTAAAAGCGTCCATATAAACCCAGGCTGTGTCCTCGTACTGCAGATGTAGGTGTAAGTTTTAGAGGAGCATCAACGCCTGTGAAAACTGCAGTGGTTTCAGTGCAGCAATGAGTTTATGCCCACTTTGGAACCTTGTTATACTGCTGGAGTGCTTTAGAGAACTACAGGGTTGGGAAGAGAATCAGGCCCTTAATCTTCCCATTAAGCGAGCACGGCTGTTGCAGCTGTCTGTGCGTGCAGGAATAGCTGGCAGAATCAGTGTAACTTCTGTGGTGTAACTTTGGGGCAGAGTTGCCAAGCATTTCTTTCTGCAGCAATGCCGCATCCGATGCAGCCTGCCCTGGTGTTCTCGCTTGTGCTACTGCAACTGTTCGCATGGCAATTGAGTGGCTTAGGTCAGAAAACTTGATTCAGGTGAAAAATAACCCAGGGTGAAACTTTTTCTCCCTTTTCTTCTTGGTACTGGCCTACTCTCTGATGTAGTGTGTTGCATAGTTTTGGCAAGGTAAGGGAAGTTGTGGTGAGGGAACAGAAACAAGAGTGTGAGTTAGGCTGGCACTGCCTCTGAAAGAACCAGTTGTTGAACTAGAGCCCTAAAACCAAATGGAGTAAGATTCCCTCAAGTAATAAAAATGATGGTCATTTTTTGAGTTTTATTTCTCATAATCTATGGTATCATCCAGGCTGAACTGCAGACAGCCCACCTCCTGCTTTATTCAACACTGGGAAGTCACTTGGGTACAGTGATGATGTGAGGTGTAAAATAGGGATGAGTGACTATAAATGTTATCCACGCACTGAAGTCACATGGTACTGGAGCTCTCATCTCCTAAAACCTCACCTAGATCTTGACGAGGTAGCTTGGGATTTTGGCACCCCACGTGTGTGAAGCAGATGAAGGAAGGGAAGTCATATATCTAATGATCTGACTATTTAAACAAATTTTGCGGAAGAAAGCACGTAAGTTCATCTTTACTTCATGAAAATGCACCTGACTGAAGTACGTACTCAGTGAAGCTACAGAAAGAGCAGCTAATGAATTCCATGTGGTCCTTCTGTGTGATACCCCTAGAAAATATTAATGTATTACTTTACAACAGATACCAGAGTGGTTGAGCTTGTGTCCTTTACGATGGTTGTGGTGGGCCTGCTGCCTTTCCCTCTGTGACCTTGAAGAGACTGGGTTGTTAGGACAGCGTATTCACTTAAAGACAGATTTTTTTGGATCCTTATGGAGGGAACAAGAATTGGCTGGAGATGATGGAGGCAGCTTTTAAGGGCAGTGTACAAAGTCCAAGAGATCAAAATTTCCACTGTGCCTGGCCAGGTGCTTAGGCTGGTACCCCACATATACAAGGATACCCCACGAATATTGGAGGGACAGCAGTATCAGTCATCGCAGCCAAAGGAGGCATTTCTGAAAGCAGGTATCCACCCCATGGTAGGCAAAAGATTGAATTATTCATAGGTACAAAGCCTGCGGCTGTGTGTCATGTTCATTTTAGCACTGAGTTGAAGCTTTCTTGACCTATGTTCAGTGCAATTAAAAACAAATCCCTCAAATCCAAGAATTGTTTGGAAAGGATTCTGTAATGCTGGGGCAGTGTGTATAGACATGTTCTCATGCTTGCCCTAATTGTATGGATTTGGTTGTAGGAGCTGCTGGGCTCCAGCACTTCCATTGATTTGTCACAGTCTACAAATCCTGGAGTTTCTTAACACCATGAGGAGTAGAAATGACTTAAAGAAAATAATTGTGTGTATTTACTGTGAATGCATTATGCACAATTTTATTACATTTATATTAAAATAAGTTGAGATGCATTTTGCTTTATTTATACTATTTTCAGGCTGTTTTCCTTTTGCCTAAATGAAACCCTTTTGATGCTCTAGCTTGTCTGGCTGGCTGTAAACCAGGTATTTAAACAAAAATAAAGAGTTGCCAGTTTTGCCAGCTGGGGATGAGAACCCGGCTGGTGATATGTGGGTTCGGGAGGCAGTTAATCCAGCTTTTATGCTTTTTTATGATTTTATGTAAAAGGAGGTTAAAAATCACATTTGGCTCTTTCTTTGTACCACTGTTTTGTTGCTGTTGTGGGAATGCAGCAAAAGGTTGCTCATACTTTTTATTATTATTAGGTAAAGTCCTGCATAAATTAGGTAAAGCCCCAGATACAGTTCGCTTTAGCTATTGGCCATGCGATTTGCCTTGTTCAGAGAATGATACGTTTTATCTTCCCGTTGCCTTCTTTTATAAATCACACATGCAAACCACACCTCAACTTACTTGTAAAAAGAATCTACCACTGCCTCGCAATTCTATATATTCTACTAGCTTCAAAAGAAAAGAGTAGCTCACTGTACAAACAGGAGAAATGGTAACGGTGCTAATAGATATAGTAGCAAAATGCATTAATGCTTTTATTCTGTGGCAGGAGAAATGGTGGTTTAAAGACAAGCGTCACAGATTTCATATACAGTTTTTCAGCAAATAGCTTGCAATATGCTCAAACTCATAAAACATTTAATTTTAAAATGCAGGAGTTATTTTAGTTAGTTTTGTCATATGTACTTATTCAGATAATTTGTTGTATTTTACACTTCCCAAAATTTCACCCTCTATTTGGAAATATCAATGATGTAACGAGTCTGTGTGTTTTGGCACAGTTGTAAATAGTATGTGTTAATGTGTTAATATTTATGATTTTTTAATCTTATATACACAGGAGGGATTTGTAATACACTCCTTTTCATCATGTTTCTATTACTAATCCTTAAGGACAGTGAAAACCAGGAATATGAATGCGTTAATTACTGTGGGATTGTCAAAATTGCCATACTGGATCAGACTGCATTTTGTTTCTGCTAGTAGCATGTACCAGATACTTCAGAGCAGGGTAGGATTTACTGTGGGAGAAAAAGGAGAGGCAGATAAACGAGCTTGACACCCCTTGTTAGGACTGGGTAGGGTAGCGCATGTGTCCTCTGATGTGGTCACGGCCACTTAGTGTCCCCAGGTGGGTGAGGACTGAGGCTGCCCTTGCTTCAGAGGAAATTATTGGAAGTCATCTTACACTTTTTAGACAATCACAAGATAATGTACTCATGGAAAAAGGTTATTTCTGATCTGTTAGAGGTTGCCTTATTCATTGAAGCCTGAAGGCTTTACTACACATTACCAGATTTTCACCACTATATATCTAAATGACTGTTCCTGTGTGTCTACTTACAGTTTGAATGTGGGTGAGCTCTTGGTGGTGGTGATTGCATGTGTCTGTGTGTTGTAAAAAGTATTTTGTTTTCTGTGGATTCGTTTGTTGGTTGGTTGTTTGTTTTTTAAAATCAGTCATACATGCTGCCTTTCTGAATCTGCCTTTTAATGATACAGAAACAATTCTTCATGAAGAATTATTTCATTCTTTATAAATACAGTCCAACTGTATCAGTTGCATTTCGTTGCTCTTTCTGTTTAAGTCTAATTTCTTATTTTAAGGTTTTTGCCTCTTTAATAGATCTTTCTGCAGCAAATATTGGCTGTCTGGCACATGAAGTTGTAGTGCCTTCTGTGTTACCGTTTATTAACTTCTAACTGTTCTATCTTTTTTGAGTGAAAGGGTATGATCTTCTAGAAATTACAGAAATTGGAATTATATATGTATATATTCAGTAATCTTCAGTTTCCTTATTGCTTGTGGTTTCATCATGGGTGTATGGTGCTGTTACGTTGTCTTCATTTCTATAGTTTAGTATGAAGGTGTATTAAGGTCAAGACACACTGCTTAGATTCCTTATTCCAATCCTCTGGGGCTGCTGGGAGAAGGGCTGTGGAGTAGGGTTTAGGCATACAACATTGGAGGCATTATGTTAACAAATTATATAAACGTTACCATATTTCTGTGATCATATAATAGCATATAAGCATAGTGTCATAGTAAACATAGTATCATAAACATTGTTATATTTCTTTGCATTAGCACAGTTCAGCTGTTTGGACTACTAATGAAACTGTCAGGAGAAACACATTGAAGACTTTTAATATAAACAAAGATCATAAAGAAGCTCAGCTTACCTTAGTAAGATTAAGGTGTTTCTAAATTTGAGGCTTTATTCTTACAGGTGGGATAAGGAGAGAGGAAGTGACTGAGCAAGGAGATGCTTCACTACTTCTCCCAGAAGAACGCTAACCGAGGCAGTAGTGCCTGTAGATGAAGTGTCTCTTCCTAAAACTGTGTACACTATAAATGGGATGGTAGAGGACATAGGAAAGGGGAAAATGCAGTCACGATCATTTTTAGCAGGTTATTCTCAACTTTATATTTTGCTTTTAGCAGTACGGTCCCCATTATGCCTGGAATTTCAGTGAGCTCAGGTGTGTGGGTCAGTACTGCAGTTGCATGTATTGAGCCAGGTTTGTGAAAATGAAGTCTTGGAAACACATTCATACAGAGATGCATCAAGTAGGCTGAAATGATTGTGTCTGAAATAGTGCATGTCTTACAGCTGGGTTTGGTTTCTGTCTTAGGTGTTGGAAGATAATGACTATGGTCGTGCAGTGGACTGGTGGGGATTAGGAGTTGTCATGTATGAAATGATGTGTGGAAGATTACCGTTCTACAACCAAGATCATGAGAAACTATTTGAACTGATACTAATGGAGGACATAAAATTTCCTCGAACTCTGTCTGCAGATGCAAAATCATTACTATCAGGCCTACTGATAAAGGATCCAAATAAGCGGTAAGTGAAATTACTTGGGTATACAGGCGTAATAAATACTCTCATCATACTGGGTAATGTAAAAATAGGCCAGTGGTGCCTGGTCTTCCTGGCCGAAGGACCTGTCAATCACAGCCATACTGTCTCAGATTTCCACTTTTTCAGTACAGCAACGATACACAAAGTGAGGTTAACAAGTAAAAGGGGAAAATGCATGTGGAAGAGAACACTTTTTTAATCATTCACAGAAAACAGAAGGATCATTTTAGGTTTAGATTGTATACTGGAACAAAGGGAAAGCTCTAAATCGTTTTTCAGAGTATGACTTAATCCTGAGTTGGCTGTAGTGTCTCATGGGGACTACACCACTTTTTGTTGGAAGTGATCATGCCAGAAGAGATGTGTAGACAGCCACACATAAATTTTATTAGGGCATGTAAATAGATCACATATGAGACTATGTAAACTAGAAACTGGTTAAAGAATACATCTTCTGAGTGAAATTTAAATACAGTGGTTTGAAAGCAAGTATCACCCAGCTGCTGCCTGTGTCTTTTTGTCGTGGGCTTTTCCCTTTGGGATTGTTGCCTAGGAGAGCCATTTTCCAGTGGCTCCTGCACTGGACTAGCAGTCCCCTCTGGTTCTAAAACAAGCCTCTGTCTTTGTAGATCAGTGGGATTTGTCTGTAGGTCCCCTCTTTTCCCCAGTCTCTCTGTTGTTCTTGTGAGTCTCTTGGCATGTTTTAAGGCTGCAGGCATTTTGTCTGTCTGTCTCTCTTCTCTAGTCCTCCTTCATCCTCAGTTTGTTCTCAAGAAGTTTTCAGTAGTGGGCATTGCTCGCTGGCACTCAGGGCAGGTCTGGTTGCCATGTCTCTCTGAGGGATTTGCCTGCATGCAGTCAAGTGCAGCAGCCAGGACAGCAAAAGCGGTCAGCCTTTCTGCTGCTGCCCAGCAATGCCTGTTTAACTGAATTTACTGTGTGCAGTAAAAGCAAACTGTGACCAACCAACCAAATACCTGGAGACTAAAGTAAAAATTTGTTCCTGTAGCAACTCCTAATGCATTTTAACCTCCAAACAATCTGACCCATCAAATATATTAACCTTTAGAATTGAAAAGATACTTCCTTCTAATAAATCTTTGCAGACATTAGTGTTTATTACAGACTTATATTTACAGGCTTATTCATACTCAAGTTCTGGTGCTAGCTAATGCTAAATAGGGTGGGAGCACAGAGGTTAACTGCAACTCAGCTTTTCTCTGAGCATCTGAATGGGAAGATACTGAGAGAAGTCTGGAGACTGCAGGCTAACTGGGATGCTTAGCAGAGACGTAGAGAATTTTACAATGAGTAGTTGAGAAACTACTCATAGAAGAGGAATACAGCTTGGAAATGAGAATAGCTTTATACCTAGTTACTGCAAGACTGAGGTAGTAGTTCAGAATATTTTTGTAGTTTGGCAGCAGGGTAATACCAATACGGATCTTTTTTCTTGGTTGTGAGAATTACTGCTCCTTGCAATAAATGCTTTAGAGAGGAATTCCTCTTACTTAAAAGGTTGCTTTTAAAATTTGTCTTTATATCTTTAGCAGTTCCTTTTAATGAAATACAAACTACTTGTGTCACTCTTCTTGTCAATATTGAACATGTATGGCCTGCTTGTTCAGTTAAGATTAGCTTTTCTTCTGTTGCAACTTCTTTCTGTGAGACCAGTAGGATAGCCAGTCTCAGGAAGAAGTTAGGTGAGAGCTAAGCAGTCCTGAAAGTCTACGTGCTGTTGAAAGGGGCAGAGGTTCCCTTCACTGGATGTGTGGTTCTTTCTCCTCCAACAGCAGCAGCTCAAGGGAGCTCACTGAACTTGTTGAGTCAAATTTGACTTGCTAATGCTACAAAAACCAGGCAATTCTTTCTCGTTTTCTCATTGCAGGGTTAGTTTTCTTCCAGGTTAGTGAGCTGACTCAGCTCGCAGTCATCAGTGGAAATGATGCTATAGATACAAGTGAGAGGGGAGAGGTATGGGCAGGGGTGGGACCCTCCTCTTCTGGCAGCAGTGACCACAGTTCCATGAGCTCAAATCACCTTGGGCAAGTTCACCAAAGTAGGTGGAATTCACTTCCTAAGATGATTTGCCAGAGTCTGGCTTTGGCAAGCTATGGGCCACAGTGAATAGTGTGGTTATTTACAATGGCCTTTAAATAACCTTCTCAGCAGGCCTACAATTTATTAATTTATACTAATTGACTGAGATTGAGACTATTTTATGGTAATTGGTTAATTGTTACAGCACCCAGATGCAACAGCAGTGAACACTGTATAAAAATGATGTGTGAGTCATTACTGATTCAGTGCCTGGCACCTCCTTGGCAAAATTTTATGTCAGCATTGTTGGGTTGGTTTGGGTTTTTAATAGTGCCAGAACGTTAGTTGGTCTTTCAAGAAAACTAAACTTAAGTATGTTTTAAAAATGAATGAATTATTAAAAAAGCTCATCATGGACGGTAGCGAACACTGTAGTTGGATTAATCAGATAGAATAGACCGTGCCGTGGATGCTTCTACTATCACATTTTCTCTCAGGATCACCTGAATTCATATTAAACAGGTGAGAGTTACATATTAAATGGGTGAGAATTGTTCCCAGGTAGTCAAAACCAAATTAATCACTTTTCCAACCATTACAATAACTTAGTCTTCCTTTAAGAGTAATGCTTGTTTAATATGATTTTTTCCCCCCGACTCTTTAGACTTGGTGGAGGCCCAGATGATGCAAAAGAAATCATGCGTCATAGTTTCTTTGCTGGAGTAAACTGGCAAGATGTATATGATAAAAAGGTACGTCTTTATATGACATTGAATAATCTGGCTTCTGCAAGGTGGTTTCTACTGATAGTCACAGGACTGCTGCTCTCTGAAGTTAGTCATGTTTTTCTTTGCAACTTTCTGTGTTAATACAAATGAATAATTATTCTGAACTACGTGTACTTACTTAATCTTTTGTTTTTCAGTAATAATTTGTCAGTGGACCAAAAATAAATTTTGCAAACCAACCTAAACTCAGCAAAGATTTTTCTTTTATTATGTAGATGTCCAAATCTTTTCCTTTCCTTTTTTCTTCCTGGGCCTTCAAGAGAAAAGTAGGTGTATGACTCGAGATAATGTGAGAAAATGTAATTTCAGGAAGTTTATCCTGAATTGTCTTTTTATTTCTGCCTTTTATTGAAAAGTTGTTTTATGAAAATAGGAAAATGAAGTGATTGGAAGGGTCTCATAGCAAAGATCTGCTTTCTGATTGTTTGTGTTTAAGTAGAAATCTTTTTCAAACTTATTTTTAAAGAGATATCTAAGAAAATTAAAATAGCATTAGAATACTGAGCCAAAACAGCTTGTGGAGAAAGCGAGTACTGGGAATTCAATTGGAACAGTTTTCTCTAAACCCAGTCCTATTCCTGTAATGATCAACACTTTGGGGATGATTTTAGAAAATGAATTTATCTTACTCAGTAGTGAAACTCAATTTGACTTAAGTTGTTTTATACACAGAAGCTGATTTTATCTCAGTACTTGTGTAAGAATTTACTTGTTGCTATAAACCCCTTCTATTTTGATAAAGTCTTTTTTTTTCCCCCCAACTGTTTTACATTGTTAATTTGCCAGTTGAGCTGTGTAATTTTAAAAGATAGATTTTTCTCCTTTTTTTGCTTTGTTCAAATAAAAGGAAAATGGAAGACATACGAATGAGCAGAATATGTTTATGCTACAATGTCAATGATACAAACTGTTTTTTCAGTTGTTGTTGAACTGGGATTTTAAAAATGTGTGGTTGTTGGTGTGGTACTTCTCTGACAAATACCAGAATTGAAATAAGAGCCTGTATATGATCATACAAAATATGGTACTCTGAAGTTACTTGCTACAAGTGTGATTTTTCCCTGGCAGTATCATGAGGTTTCAAGAAACTCTGAAATAAATAATCAGAGGTAGCATATTAATCAGGTTACTTTATGAGCTCAACCACTGCTTGGTTATGTAAGGACATTGTAGAGAAGCACCTTGAGGATAAAATCTAAAAATACAAGTTGAGGACCTTTCTGGAGTTTAAAAAAAACCACTACAATCGATTGGATTGCAATGTGCTAGGAGTGGGTGAGAAAGAAAAATCTGTTACATTACGCTTGCTCTGTTGAAAAAGATTTCTTAATTATTTTACATTAGAAATAGAGCTCTCAATTCTACACTGTGTTTAACATCATATTTAGTTACGAAAATATAGATACTTTTAATTTTTAAGTGTGTGCTTTGAGTGTTTCCAAATCAACATGGCAAATGTCTTTCAGTCAAGATCTTATTCTGAGCTATTAAAATAAGAGGAGGTATTTTGCAGGTATAAATATATGTAAAAATAAAAATGTATATAACTTTATA